GCAAAATGAAGAAGAAGGCTACATTTGTTCTGCAGGAAAATGTTAGAATTTAATGCGAACAAAGTGCATCCTCCCGATGAAAGCCAGAAACATCGTTGCAACCAGCTTTTTACTTCAAGCCCTCATGATCTTACCGTTGAAAGACTTATGAAAAAAGTTGCACGCATATTCTATTGACATTTCGGCTTCACAAAGTTAAATTAATTTCTTTTTCATCTATAGTTTGATTACCAATAGTATTTTCAGATTATTAAGAAGCAGACAAATATACTCATGGAAAGGGTAGATTTCTGACGTTGATTGATTCAAGTTCTTGATAGAATTTGATTCATGTTTACATTGACTGCGTAAATATTAAAAAAACAAATTAATGAGAAACCATTTCTCATATACGTTTCGTATTGCACAGTCAGATGTTTGTCGTAGCGTTAGGTAGGAAAGTTTCTTGAATGAAACATTCGAAATTTTGCAACAGCGGGACCGCATTCCCTGTGTATTGTTGCGGGAGTCGCGGGGCTTGAAGGATGGCGCGGTTTTGCTTTCATTTGCCACAATAACATTCCATAGGAATTCTCGACATGCAATAAGATGACAAACTTTCATACTGTCAAAAAATAAACATCACGTCATGCAATGCGTTGCCAAGCCATGTGGCATGGAAAATGTACGATCCCTCGCCAAATGGGACTTATTTATGAGGAGAATAACACTGATACGGTTTTAATTAATGTAAACTGTTTTGGTTTTCATCAGACCATGTTTAAAAATTATAAAATTGCTCTCATTTTTAAATCGTCAATATTAAGTCCACAATGTTAGTGATATCCAGGTGGGTTTATTTGTTAGATGTTTTATTTTTACATTGACCAAGGATTTTCACCAGTGCTGGAAAATGAATGTCAGAAGCCACTTACCTTAAGAAAGGCTTGGTTGGTTCTCTTGTCAGAGTCGGCAAAGAAAATAAGCTTGTTGCTCACATAAACGAGGGGCGCGAGCCAAGACCCGCGTTAATTGAAAGAAGAAAAAGGTCTGCAATGGCCTCATATGGCCCCTTCCATCTGAGTTCCTGAGTCCTAATATCACTTACAGTTTCTTTATCGCTCTGCTCTTCTCTGGCTTTCACACAAGATCGAGTTGTTCCTGTTAATGCTACCGGCGTCCTAAGTCTGCTCGGACCGTACTTTTATGAACATAAATGTCCGCACGGAAAATCTAATTGGAATAATTGCAGCATTGTGTTATTATTCAACAATCCAGTTAACATACATATGTCGCGAAATGATGCCTTGATGTAAGGCTAGTGTAGATCACTCGTCCTTAATTAAAACTAGAAAAGGCCGCTCAGCTGAAGCAGAACTTGAACGCAGTCTGAAAGAGAACTCTTGCCAGCCATCGTTTCGGAAGCAGCTAGGCCAAATAAATGGTCGGGAATGAAACCAATATGGGCTTCCATGTTGCCTTTGAGTTCAAAAAGTTGTGGGATTGCATTTCTTGTTGGAAATCAAGAGCATTCCTGAGAGACTCGCTTTTTTCGCGAAAACTGTCTTTCAGCGCTGGAGTTCAAGCTGCTTTGACCAAAGTCGAATCTGAATTGCAAACCACCGTGGAATCATGATGCCAATATCAGGCTTCGTTTCACTTCGATTCCGACGCAGTTGAAGCACTTGTAACTCTCCTCGGAATCACTTCACGTGAAGCCTTGTAAGCTCCATGGCTTGTACTCAGCTGGAAGCCAAAGCAGAATTAATTAATCAAAGGCTCGACTGGTTACACTCTGGTTGGCTGGGTATTGATGAAGTGTTGGAGTCAATTAAGCTCTTCTGCTCGACCTGCACCGCCGACATGAGGCTTACACCGAGAACACGGACGCCGCGTTCATAATGCGCTAAGTTACCCTAACAGCTTCCAATCTATAGTTTTTCTATAAAAAACACGGTCATTTTACATTGTTCGTGATCAGACAGATAACAAGGAGGCTCAAATCTAATCTCGCATCCTATAATTTTTTCTAAATATTCCAAGTATTCCATGTAAATAAATGTTAAGATTACGGCAAAGAAAGTTTTAAGGTGATGGAGATGCACAAGGTGCGGACGAGCTATGACACGATCAGAACGGTAATTTAATGCATCAAGAGGCGGTCATCAGAACCTCGATGCTGTGCTTGGAGTAACGGCGTGCGAAGAGCTGATCAGAGTTAGATACTGCATGAATATCCCTTACAACAGGTAAACGTGGATACCGACCAAAGTACCTTCTTGTAATAACTTTTTCAACGATGTTTCACACTAACCTGCTCACTACTAATAATGAGAATTGATCGAAACACAAATGTGAATATGCGTCGCATCTTGTGGATTTATATTACAATATAACTGCAATTTCATTCTAGAATGGGCCACATATGAAATGTAATATGGGGATAGTAACTGGAGAAGCTACTGTATAACTGAATGCTTGATGGAAGCTCTAACTACAGGAATCAGGGATTTAATATCTGCAGAAGACATTAAAGATTCATGATTACCATATTTCATGGAAATTTAAGATAACCTAGTATTATGCCTATTTTTAATATTGTGTATTGATGCCTACAAAGTTGAGGTGTTTCGAAGTAAATGTCGTGGAATTAACCACTGTCGATAGAATACTACTAAACTCATCTGATTATTATGAAACCGGATTCTATGTTCAGTTTTCACGATCAATGAACGATGAGAACAATAATATCGAACATATTCTTCTTCCATTCATTATTGAATTCAGATTCATGAAAATTACCCTATATTACGCTAAGCGCATTCATTATCAAGAACACGCTTAAAACAAAACTAATGCCGGGTGCCAATTTTGGGTCTCTGCCTCGCCTCTCTAAGCAGTCGCGCATTTTTGTTCTAGCTGGAGCTCTGGACGATGTCTAATGAAATTTAATGACCTAGAGGCCCGCGCAGAAATCTTATATGAAGAAGGATAGCGCAGCGCTCGCCTAAGAGACGAGGTGCACAACAACGGCTCCAGCCTCCCGATATATATATGAATGGAATGATCAAAACAATTTTCAGATGAATAATAAAGGCTGATCAAAACAATTTTTTTACTGATATAAAAAGTGTGATTATTTATCTAAAATTCCGACCGAATCCTATGCAGTGTAGTGGATACGTGGCTGTAGATTTATCGTGCGAACGAAATATTTCTTCAAAACTATCGCAGAATTTTCTCAAGTAATTTATATTGTTTCATGAAAACAATATTCACTAAATTTTTGCAAGTACGGAATTTAAAAGCTTGAGAAATGAAGCTAGAGCTAAAACTCGATAACCTTAATGTTTCACTCCGTTTGAATTGTGCCTGGCGTCAGCTGGCGTCAAGTTGAAGCTCATTCTCGCGATTCCATGGACGAATAGCTCATAAAATTGCTTATCCTTTGATCGCAAAGCGGAAGTGCTACAGAAAACAGAGAGCGTGGCTTTCAGTAAAGACGATTCGCGCCAAATTTATGCTGCACATATAACATATTCAAGACATGGCCGCTGGCGAGATAAGGCTCTGGCCCGCTGTCGTAACTCACACTTTTCTGCCCAGTGCTACGAAGTGTGAATGGATCCGACAAGCGGCGAAGCCGAGGAAAAGTGCCTCTCTTTGCCAGCCTCAGTAAATTTTCCTGATAATCTAGCATTGTGGAGAGAGCCGGAGTAATTCGGACGCTACTTGGGGCTGAATCTCAGTTACAAGTAAAAAAATTCGCCATTTACTTATATGTACCGAATTTCATGTTTTCATGAACATCCATTGTTTAGACTTCATCATCTGTTAGTCGAGAAGTAGATGATGAAAAATTACGTAATGGACAGAAATAGAGGAAAAAGTTTTGTTGTGTAACGAGGAATTAATAGAATTTTAGGATGGAAACAATTTTCTCGTTTCATTGCAACTTTACAATGTGTACTTTTATTCAATGTTAATTTTATTAGTCGTCATTTATTGCCTGCGTGGATTTGAAAAAAGAACCATGAAAGGTTGTGATCAATTTGAAGCTTGAGTTTTGTTAATGAAATCAACGGAAAAGAAGACAGTTTGTGGTCATGTTGTAATTCCCATACTCGATTAAATTGCGCTTGATTTAATTCCAATGGAGCGCACATGTCATGAGCTTTTTTTCGCTTTGCTATAAATTTCGCCTCTTTAGATCAATTCATTACAAGTATGAACTGGCCAATGTTTATGTTTATAGGCAATGATTCTCTCACAACAAGAAGGAAGATCTTTATTGCAGAAAAAAGCTGCGCGTTGGAGTGGAACTGCACACGTAAAACTCACAAATATTTATGTTAAAATAACAAGAGAACTAAAATTTTTCTTTTATAAATAAGCAACGTATACCATTTTTGATAGACATTAATTTGACTATATAGGATAAATAGTCTAATGCAAAATTCATTCTCCCTCACCTTCTGCTCAATTCACAGATAACCTGTCAAACACACGGAATTTTCGCTGGGACTAATTGGGTAATAAAAGTTTTTCATTTGACAAATCCTCTATTTGAAGTATTACTTGAGAGGGAGAATCGGTCTACAAACTTTGAGCCGCATAGCTATTCAAATTGCGAATATGAGTGAATATTTTCATCTTTAGTCTAAAATATGAGCGAAAATGTCCGTGTTAGAACGATTGCCACATGTCACGGAGCGCCAACATTCTGCTGCTCTGTTGTGGAGACCGTCGAGCTGCTGCCATGGCGTCAGTGACGTACGAACTGGACGTGCACTGCCATGGTGTACTAACTAAATTTATAGAGGAATCGCAAGAAAATAAAGATTCGAACCTCGCAACATCAATGCAACGAAATTTTACTGCATAAATTCAACTGTCTTCATATCAAGGGTTGCCGTTTATCAAGGAAACGGTAACTGTAAGCTTGTGCATGTCAGTGTCAATGTTAAGGTCAGCGTGGAATGATCGAGAGGCTGCTAAGCAGCCACTGATTACCCCTGGGTTTGTTTTTCTGACCTCGCAGTGCACTAGTAACGCGACTCGGGGAACCAGCATAAGCAAGACTCGCTCCGTGCAATTTAAATGCGTAACTTTGATTATTCGGAAACTATAAAATAAATTGACTAATTGTTCAGAAGCATAAGTAAATTTGCTTCTTCTGGAGCATTATTCACATCCAAGGTAAAATTTAGATAGTTTCAGTTAATCCGATCTCGTTCTTCGTATTTTTACTTAGCCATGAATTCAGCGGGAGCCTGAACTTCGTAGTTCCCAATGCATAAGTTGCGCTAAACCTCTAACCGCCACAAAAAAAATTTATTTCCGTTAGAAAGCAGGATTTTAAAAATAATTTTAAAAATCATCGCATCGGGGATAATCTTTATTGCATTGTTACACGAAGTAAATGACAGACTAATAATGAGGTACTCATCAATGTGACGACAATTCATTCTTTGTGATAAAAAAATGAATGGCTACAATGCTCGGAAATAAAGTGTTCGATTTCATTGATTGGTAGGTTTCTTGAAGTTCTATTTATTGTTTAACGTTAAAGCGATAGAAATGAGTCATAAAAATTGCGTCAGCTTCCAAATTTGTCCATTCAAAAATTTAAGAACTAATAATATTATCATACTGCACCTCTTAGCTTAAAACTTAACGAAGATGAATTACACCACTTTAGTTTTTAATTGTTATGTGAATAAGGCGTGGCGTTGAAACTACACTGGAAATCAACAATTTAAATCAAAATTTTGGAAGTTTGCGGAATGCCAAATTATTTTTGCTAAAATTGGGTGATCCTCTCAATTTTGCAACAATGTCGCCCGTGATTAAATTATGGTAGCTAACAAAACATCTCAATTTATTTAGTTATACATTCGTACACAGGGAATTTGTTTCACACTCACCTTGTAAAATTTGTTGGCATTGCACGAATTGTATAAAACTCACTTTGTTCGATATTTCTACAACACTTCTCTTTAACGTCACTTCTTGTTGTTTGTCTGTCGTCTGCTACAAATCTTATAATCGATATTTAGAACACTTCTACCCGTCCAATCGATCTGAAATTTGGCACACTTGCATAAAGTTGGAGACAATGCATGAATCAAGTGACAGAATAAATAATTTTTATAACAATTTTTTTCAATATTAAAGAAAAATAGAAAAAATAATTTCGTCAGCTACAAATATTATTGTCGATATTTGACACACTTATACCTGTTCAATCGATTTGAAATTTAGCATACTTGCGCGAAGTTTGAGACAATGCATGAATCAATTGACAGAAGAAATCATTTTATATATTAAATTTTTTTTCATTATTAACAAAAATTTAAAAATAATTTCGTCCGCTACAAATCTTAAAGTCTATGTATGACACAATTTGACCTGTCCAATCGATCTGAAATTTTGCACAATTACATATAGTCAGAGACAAAGCATGAATCAGTTGACAGAATAAATCATTTTGAGAATTTACAAAATTTTAATAACCTAAAAAAATTGTGAAAAATACTTTTTTTTAATATTTGAAAATAAAATTAGAAATTTATTGTACATGTGTAACATCCAAGACTCTGGATGCTTCATAAGTGTTGTATTTAAAAATTAAGCGCATATTATTAATTCTTTCATGCGGCCAAAAGTTCGTCTAACGATGATGGCCAACGACGATCCCATAAAACCATGAAAATTATGTCTGGTATTCATGACATAGTGCCCCCACCCTCTCATTCTCTATATCCTCACTTCCTCTCCTCTCATGTATCATGGTTGCTAGGAAGCAGCGACCGACAAATTGACTGTGGCATTCCTCTGAACTCGTGAAGGTTTTCGTTGAGTGACCTAGCAAAAGAATTCATGGTTTACGTCAGAACGTATGTTTCTGTGTATTTCATATGTTTACGTGTTAAAACTGGCTGAAATAAGTAAGAGAGAATTTCTTTCATATATTATTATGTTACATATATACAGGATAGAATTAAACACCTAAATAATCATTATTTGTTTCATCCTTCGAACCTTGTGTCCTTCACACGATAAAAAAATTGCGTGCTGATGTGCTCACATTATTATTGAAGAATGTGTTCTACTTTTAAATGAAAGAAAAAAAATTGATTTACTTCAATCCCATGAAAATGCTTATTTGGCAATTGTAATAAATTTTCCACCCAGATTCCGGACACCTGAGCCTTCACGATGAGATCCGTGGCGCTGACGTGTGTTCCGTACTTCATCGTGGCGTTGGTTGTCCTTAGTCACCTGACTGTTTGCAGTGAGTGGATATATTCATTTATAGATGTTCGGAGTTGATCAATTCATAAAATTCTTAATAGTAAGTACTTATGTCGAAGTTTGCAAATTAATAAGAGAGTTATAAAGTTTCTAAAATAAAGAACAAAATGACAGGATTTGTGTTTTGTTTGTTATTAAAAAGTTATTAACGAAATTCTCTATGATTTCTTGGAGTTGATGATTTCGTGAAGTTTATTTATTATTTCGTCACACACCATATTCATTTAAATTATTCTTGACCGATTATATGGTCAACACTTTATTGTTATGCGCCTTTATTCATGCATTTGCAATCCAACGTTCAGAAACACACTGTCATCACGTCGCCTCAGGCAAAGTTTGATTGAAATCAACCGATTCAATTATTCTTTTCTGACATTTTCTATCAATGTATGCAGATGCCACGAAAATAGAATGTTACGTCGATAAGAATGGCGACAAGACAGACCCGAACAACATCTACCGCTGCGCCGCGGACCACACCTGCTGCCAAGAGGAAGGTTTGCCATCCTGCTGCATGAAAAAAGCAAGCAGCGTTGCCATGTGGGAACAGGTCTGTCGAAATCACAGTGAGACATAAGATATATAGTTTGAAATGAGCTAATGATGAAAATTGAATTCATTTTCAAGACAGAATGGAAATTTGTTAATCAAATTTCACAAATAAGGGAGAAACGACTATGATAATTTCAGCGATAACTATTAAAAAAATTTGTGGTCATATCGAAATTTAATGCTTTCTGGAGCCAACTTGCGAGGATGAGCAAACTTATAATGTAGATAATTTTTCTATTAAAACATCACCAGTTAAATCGGTAAAATTTGTAATACAGATCCAGCTTTGGGGCATCCTAGGCGCGGGCATCATCGTGCTGGGTTTGGTGATGTGGTTCTGTCGTCACGACGGCGATTGTTGCTGCAACGCAAAGGACGGACGCAAGTCTTGCTGTGGCAAGCCTTACGGCAAGAAGCCCGACGACAAGTTTGCTGAGGGATACGGAGTGCCGTGAGTAATTAGGCAATAATCTTGTATACAGGAATACTGTTGATATTGAGTCGGTAATATGCGTTTATGTAATGGTTCCATTTCCACGTTATATATGACATGTAATTTGTTGTGATTCAGTTGTCCATGCAAGTGTCACGGTATTGAAGATCTGATAAGCTTGCTGAAGTTGGTCGCACTAACTCGAACCACAATTTCAAGAAATTACCTCTAAGTTATTACCTTAGCTGCAAAAGGCATGTGTGTGTGTGTGTGTCTGTGTGTGTGTGTGTAGTTAACACATTATGATTCAAGAATACCCACACATCAGAAAATATGCCTAAAATTAAAAATATCCCTTAGATCGGACACAGAATCGGATGACGACGACGACGACTCAGACGATGATGACGAAGAAGACGACAAGAACAAAGACAAAAGCTTGAAGAAGAAACCCTACGCACATCCGTCCACCGAGGAAGAACCTCAAAGTCAAACTCCCGGGAACTTCCTGAAAACAACACCGTGAAAAATCATCCCCATAACCTAAACCTTTCGCTCACTCTGGAGGGGATATCACCGGCAGAACAGCGTAAAGCTTTGCAATTAATTTAGGTTTTTAAAACCTGCCGCGAAATTTGAAAACCCTAACCACGCCTCATGAAAGCTTTGAACGATCCAACTGAGTAACAACTGACTATAGTAAACTGATAATTGCGTGAAAAGCCTATAATATTAAAATTTGTGAATCCCAAAAACGGCTGAAATCTACTTTGCTAAAATTTTAATTGATATTTGTTTGCCGAAAAAATTTTGATGCGGTCTCATTTGCTTCGTCCTCGCATGCAACATTTTTTTTCCGACTTTACACTTGAAGACTTTAGTGACTCTCTGGTCACACTTCATTGAAGGACACCTGGATACTTAGAAGTAGTTGCATTATTTACTATTCTCGTATAACATCATTGAATGTATTTCCTTCATAATTCTGTGATACGTTGTTTGTGAGAATTTGAAAAGCATTCATAATCTAGTGGCATAGTATTATATATTTCACAATTTACGTGTCTTTTCATGTAAATATATATTTCCACAATTGTTATTGTTATTATTCACCCAAGCAGTTGAAGATGGGCAGTAAAAATCGATCACCAAAAATTTTCATTTAGTGCTTGAATAACCGTTGAAAAAATTTCCGAGCTAATAAAGTTTTCAAAAAAATGTTCAGTTTACTAAGTCAACTGAGCAATGAGCATATATCGCTTAAAAATTTAGTTTTATATCTTTGATAATTTTACTGACAAGGATTACTTTTAAAAATTTTTAACAATTACTAGTTAGAGCGAAGTGGAGAAAAAAATTTAATCTGATGGAAATCATGGGCTGAAAGGACTTAAATTGAGTTACCCATGAATTTCAATATGGAAACAATTTTGCATGGTAAAATTCATGAACATTTAAACATTTTTAACTGCAAAATTGGGTCTGACAAACACACGGCAAGTTCTGGGTTTGTTGTTTAGGGTTTTTACATTGAAATTACATGGTTCGTATATTGAATGCGAAATTACATCGATATATAACTTTTCTAGGTTTTTATATGTGTACTCGGTAGGACTAGTTAAGCAAAGTGTACTTATAATAAAACACAGGGAAGCTCTCATGGCATATTCTGAGCGAGTAAAGACGTTCTAAGTTACATAAATTGTCTTCAATTCTCGTTCTGAAAACAATCGTAATATCATAAAGAAATAAATGTTTCAAATCTAAATGGATGTGTTTTTTTAAGTCAGCATAAGACCAAAAATGCACGATTCCGAAATATAACATGGCGACGCACTTCATTTGGAAACTTTTTTCCCGAAGAGGCCAACAAAGCTTTCGTCGACACAAGTAAAAACATCGGTCCGGTAGAGTTTTTATTGTCAGCTGAAGCTATTTTGGAATTAGTTAAACGTTGTTTTTGTTTTTTTTTTGCTGGTATTTCAGTGTTCTGATTGCTATTATTTGTTGTCACTTGTTTCGCTTTCTATGGAAGCTTATATAACGTGAGCTGGGACCCCAACTTGGGCAATATGCATGGAAAGAAATTTTTAATTTAAAGTTTCCACGTTCCATGGACATCTGTGCAAGATCGCAATGTGTTAATTGCGGTTTTTTATAGGAGATTTGGCTTGAAATTCATTCTATTTTAATAAAAAAAATATTTCTCTTGTGTCAGCAAGCGAAAAAAAATCATGAAATTGTCACAATATCGCAACGCATGAGTATGCTTATTCCTGAAATATACATAGCAACCCTAGCCGTAACAAGCTTTAGATTTATCGAATAATTTTTATAATTGGTTTAGCAGTTTCCACAAATTATTCCACTACCTGAGTATACTTTCCGACCGACACGTCTGAGTCAAGAAAAATTAGTGCTCCATTGTTTACGGCGCGGTTGTTTTTCTCAGTGTATCAGAAAGGAAGAATGGATTTCGGCAGCGGAGGTTCGGCGTCCAACAATCGATGGCGCAGGGATCGCCATAAGCCAGCACCGACGGAGCGCGGGGCATCAATCAGTCCAGAAATCACCAGCGTCGCGCCGACGAGAATGTCGCGCCGCGCAAATATTTCTGCGCGGGAGTTCAGGATCTTCTATTATTCTGATTATTCGGTGTGAGAGATTTTTTATTCAGATAAAAATAAGTACAGTATGACGAGTTGAAGAGAAAGTTCGTCTTATTTGAAAATTAGAGATTAATATTGTACAAGAAGTTGATGGAAGGATAAATGTAATAATATTGTAGACAGCAAATAAAAAACGGTGAACTGTTAATGGCGTAAAATTAAGTTAAATTGGTGACAAAAGTGAATAAATTATTGATAGAAAAGAGACAAAAAGCATTATTGAATTGTATAATAATTTATACATTAATTGTGAGAATTGTTCTCCCATCATTGAAATGATAGCAAGCGACCAAAGAAAATGATGAAATAATGAGCTTTTGAAGCACCATTCAATTTTTGCGCACCCCATTCGACTCTGAAGACAATAACAGCGTGACGGAAATTTTCAATTCGCGAACATGAAAATATTTGTAGCACAGTGCAGGCAGCCAGAGGGTCCCCTATCATTTGATTAGGCCGTCATTAGGTCGCTATTAATGTTTGATTACCGAGAGGGTGCTGCCTGATTTCTGTTTGTTTGACGCAATTCTTGCTAGTTTGGTGAATTGGAATCCGCTGTGAAATTCGCAGCCCATCACTGCGAGATTTCTACCTGCAAACGAGAAACCTCATGTTAGGAATAATCGCGCTTTAAGTTTTTGGGAACCATTTTGAAATTTTTTTGTAATTTTGCGAGAGCTTTAGAGAATTTTTCTTGTAAACGATAAAAAATTACAAAATTCACGCCCAAACTTCGTTTTAATCAAGATGAGTCTTACATTGCCTACAGATATGTAGGAAGAATTATCACTCTCATATGAATACTTCTGTTAAAGAAATAAATGTTAAAGGATGTTAATGTGCATAAATGTTAAAGTTATAATTTAATATGAATATGGCAAGGTGGTCTCTTCTTCCATATGTTGTATCTCTTCTTCCATATGTTGTATCTCTTATTCTATATGTTGTATCTCTTCTCCCATATGTTGTAGCAAACCATGGCGATGTAAGCAGCTGCCACAAAGCCTCAAAAACTTGTCGTCCAATATTTCACGCGATGCATATTGCGCTGCATGACGCTGAGATGCCATCAATTTTGTGGTGTTAACATTTTTATGGGCAAATTTTCCTCAGCCGTCTCAGTTTCTCGATGCCCATCACGTTAAATCTCATCTAAAGGCAAATATTGGCGAATATTGTCAATTTACGCCGTCAGAACGGAAGGCTATGTCGGCAACTTGGTCCATATCGAGCGATGAGCAACGTTCTCTTCACTTGTTTGTAATCTACGCAGCCGCTGCGAGAACAATGTTCTTCAGCATATGGAAGCTCCTTCAGCGCATCGCAGTTGGATCGCATGCAGATTCCTTATATGTCCCGATTATTAATTAATCCATGTTCTAGTTATACTGATAAATTTGTGCTCATATATTGGTAGCCTACCAATGGTACCAATTAATACCTACCCATATGGTAGGTATTAATTACATAAAAATTATGTTGGAAAATTTCTATTGGCAAGTAAAACAAAACAACTCTTTTTCCTCTTACTGTAAGTGCACTCTTCAAATCTACCATACTAGTTGCCGAACCCACATACCAACCGAAATATTTAATAAAATCGTTGTCAAACATTTGTCCAATATATTAATTTTATTCTATATTCACGAAATTTTTCATCAAGCTCATTTTTGCAAATGTGATGCAGAGATTCATGCCAAATTTAATGATTCATATTTCGCTTATGAAATGTTGTTTAACAGCGAAAGTGAGCTCGTTACGATTGCTTACGCTGATAATGCACTTTTTCAGACTCACCAAAGCAGAATAAATTACATCATCTTCTTTTTGTTTTAAAAATTTTAATGCACTAATTTAATTTTCTTCACTTAATTACAAGTTTACGGCAAGACTTCGGAAGTTTGTGATGAACTTGCTTCAGAAAAGAAAAAACTATTTGCTTTGATGTTTTATTTGTACATAAGGTCGGGCTCATTTCTCTTCATTCCACTCGGTGATGTAAAACTTAGGTACTCGGAAGTGAGGTCACGTTCCTTTACGGGGCAAACTCAGTCTACAGAAAAACTTTGTTGAATACAACAGCTATTAAGTCCCGTACTAATATTGCATTGTTTCTTTAGCACTTGATTCTATGCAAATTTAATTTAATCCCGGATATTACATTTTCATCTCTGGAACTCCTACAAAAACATCTATCACAGAATTTACGCTCCCACAAAAAAGTATAATAACAATAAAAAATATTAATAAACTACAATAATAAATAATAAAAAATTATAAAATGAAAAAATAAAATCATGGGTATTGTTCAATTAATTGCCTTCTTGCCACAGATAAGCCATTTAAATTTGCTTGTAACTGATGATATACACAGATTCGGAATGTCCGCGATTGTGTGATGCGCAAGTTGAAGCGGAAGCTCAGGATAATGAAAGGGGAATGAAAGGGGAATGTCAAGGGAATGTATTTTTTTCCGACATTAATATTCCAATAATTTTGCGTTTGCATTAGCTATTCAAAATTTATTATGAATTATTCAAATGGTGTACGCATGATTTATTTGCTTGACAAGTTTCGCCTATAAAAAAGTCCTGCTGTTTCACGAATATGCCATTGTTCGTATTGCCCTTGAATATTATTTCGACCATGAAAATCATTGTTCAATATCGAACTCAATTATCAATTTTTTAATGAAGATTTTTATTTGGTGGATATAAATCATACAAATATCAATTTTACATATATAATATTTAAGATCTTGATATAAACGGTTTTAATTATCAAAGACCTTGATCCATATATGATATTAAGATCTTCCATGATATTGTTTCTGCAAAGAATTTGCAACGCATTTTTTCTAATCCATATTACTTTTTCTGATTATTGCCTACAAGGCCTGAATTTAATTCCAAGAGGGAAGTCAGGTAAGCGAAGTTGTAGGCTTTGTTTTCGCAGAAAAAATAATCTAACTTGTCGATGTTCGCCCCGGGCCGACATCAGAGCCTTACGAGTGACCACCGCAAACAAACGCCGATGCAAAGAAGACGAGCCTTAGGCCTCATCGACGAGCTTCGAATTTCGATAGCAGAGACTGATATGTCCCGCGGCGCATCGAAAAGTCGTAATTCATGAGCTAACAAACGTCCTACTTCGTTTTCGCTCATCGGCAAAAATTGAAGCGGTGCAACCTTAGGCGGCTGAATAGAACATATATAGTGAGAATTTTTAGCTCTCAGAGTTTTAATGGAATAAGTGAATGGAAAAGACCTTAGGACAAATATTCTACACGTGAAGTTATAATATAAGAACGACAGAGAATATTCCAAATAAATATATCATTCAAGCTATTCCAATGCTACTAAATTCCAGGCTGATTAATCATTCGTGCGTCACTAATACCATCAAG